TTACAACCAGGTTTCAAAGTTAGTTTTTTGTCAGAAGGCCAAATAAAAAGCACATTTTACATTCCAGTTCTTATATCAGAATTCCACTAATATCTCAAACATGGACTGGGATTTATGTTCTCCTAAAAACCCAAAGCTTAATTTAAGGTTCCATGGTGCTTGTCTTAAATGATTCTAGGTTTTATGTTCTTTTGTTTAATTTTATTTCTTTGGAAAAATGAAGAAAAAGTATCAATGAGACAAAGTAAGAATGTAAACTCTCATTTCATGATAAAGGATTTTAACACAGGACTGCATATATGATACACCAATCCTACTGGAATGTTGCAGAAAAAAAAAAGCACTTCAGAACGCAAACAGATCCTAATCCTGAATGCAATTTTTGGAACAATCGGACAACAATTTGACTAGAAGCTAGGCACATGGACACCTACATGGAATCTCAGCTGCGGAAGGGAATGCTTGAGTCCAGTACGTTAAGGCTAGCCTGAGTGACACATAACATAGGAAGGTGGGCTGCAGCAGGGTGAGCTCTGACTGGCATGAAGGCCCTCAGTGTAGCTGCCTTAGAAGCTTGCTAAGCTGTCGGTGCTTCTCAAGTGTTCTATGGTGGCTTCTTTGTTGTTCAGGAGAAAATGCTTTTTATCCTACATTACCCTCTGCCCTATCTGCAAAAGTCAAGAACATTAAAGCTATGCTCCAATTTTCTTTAACTTCCCAATTCTTACTTTATGATTTTGCTCAAAAAGTAACTTCAGATATTTTTTTAAAAAAATTACAATAATTGTATTGTCAAATTTTCAGAAACTCTAGACAAATAGGTAAGACAGTTTATGATAAAAACAATTTCAGTCCACCCTGCAAATAACAAAGACAAAAAAAAAAAAACAACAACTAAAAACAGGGTGTCACTGTGTAGCCCTGGCTGGCTGGGACTCAGAGATGAGCCAGCTTCTTCAGGCTGGGATTAAAGCTACTCACCACAACACCCAGCATAAATAACAATTTCATTAAGAGAAATAATTTTTCAACTGGAAAACAATAATTCAGATTTTAGTAAGGTAGAAATACTGGTGATCTGAAAGCCTAACTGTCACCAAAAGCAAGCTCACAGAGGGAAACAGGAAGGGCAGGAAAGGGAAATTCACTGCAGCTCAGTGGCCTCAACCCCTTTATGAAAGCACAGATTCAATTGGTTTTACAGCATATGGATTCCCCCACTGATTATGCAAAAAAGAAAAAGAAAAAATGGAAAAGGCCAACTAAAAAATGTTTAAAGAAAAATATGACTGAATTAAATCATAAAATAAATCTAAAAGAGATCAAGAAAAAGAAATAACATTTGATGACTTTTATAAAAATACTAAAATCAAAAGAGCTCATTCTGCACATTGTGCTCACAAAGGGAAAGGAGGTTCCATCAAGCCCTGCAGAACCCAAGAAGCAGGTGGCTTGTTCAGGCATCAGCAGAATTAGGCCCCGAAGAACTACCCTCAGTTTCTTCTACATGGTGTCCCGGAAGGAAAAGCAAAGCTGCAAAATGCTGAGGGTTTTAGAAGTGTAACGGTGCTTAGGAAAGATCACTGGTCTGGTGTTGCGGCAGCCCCAGTGCTGAGAGACACGCTAGGCTTCTAGGAGGAGAAAAATAGAAAGGGAGGAAGAAACAGGAAGGGGAAGGAAAGGGTGGAAAAGCACAGGTCATTAGTAAACAGCAAGTTCAATACAGCAAGACGCTCATCAACTCCACTATGCTATTAGTGGAGCTCTCCTCTCTAAGCTCTACAGACAACACCTGAGGAAAACTGAGAGAGGAGTTTTCAGAGGGGCACTAAGCCAGATGCTCTAGTTAGTGACGGCAAATCAGAAGCAAATCACAACATGCTCCCCGAAACATGCATTCTTCACCTACTCTGCTTCCTCCTCTAATGAAATCTCTATACTCAGTAAAACATCTGGGTTTGTTTGTTTGTTTTTTTAATTTTTGAGACAGGGTTTCTCCGTAGCTTTTTTGTTCGTGTCCTGGAACTAGCTCTTCTAGACCAGGCTGGCCTTGAACTCACAGAGAACCGCCTGCCTCTGCCTCCTGAGTGCTGGGATTAAAAGCGTGCACCACCACAGCCCAACTAATACACCTATTTTGAAAAGCAATGAAAAGAGATCCACATCAGAACCCAAACAATTCGGATGTGAACACAACATTTTACCTAAGGAAATATATCCAAAGGCAGAAAGACAAGTTCTTATGGTGCCAATGGGCAAGTCACTAAAGAGCAAAACAGTTCCCCTGGTGTCATCAGAATATTCTCCATGTTTCAAAACTACGTCCTGGGCACACACAGCCGAGCCCCAGCCACCGTACTATCAACACTATTTAAAACACTAAGTCTCAGGGCTGGAGAAATGGCTCTTTCAGAGTACCTGAGTTTGATTCCCAGCACCCACATCAGATGATTTACAACTAACTGCAGCTTCAGGAGACCCCATGCTATCTCCCCCCCACCTCCCCCCACACAAATAAAAATAAAATAAATCTTAAAAAGTAAAACAACAGTGACCAAAAAAAAACCCCACTAAGTCTTTTCTGGTCAGGCTTGACATCCTGTTAGAGAAGAAGTCTAACTTAGATTTGATAGCTGTTCTTTCCTGTGTAAAAAAAAAAAAAAAAAATACCCACGAGGCTGGAGGAATGGTTAGTGGTTAAGAGGACTGGCTCTTTCAGTGGACCTAGGTTCAATTCCCAGCACCCACACGGCAGCTCAGAACCATCTATAACTCTAGTTCGAGAAATTCTGACACGTTTACATCAATCCACATAAAACAAAGTTAAATAAGTTATTAAAAAAGAAAACAGCAATACCCACTTGCTAGAAACAACAATTCATATTCTCCATCCCTTCCAACATTAACTCCAGGTTAAAAATACTGAATTTACTTTTTTTGCTTTTTGTTTTAAGAGTTGCTTTTGTTTTTAATTATGTGTACATGTGTGAGTATGTCTGTGTGTAGGGATGCACATGTGACAGCAGCTGTACCCAAAGGCCAGAGGGAGAGATCCCCTGGAGGGGAGGTAACAGATGGTTGTCACGCACTCAACATAACCCTGCTGGAAATTAACTTAGGGCCCTGCAAGAGCAATATAGCTCTTCAACACTGAGCCCTTTCTCTAGTCCTGGTTTGTTTGTTAGTTTTTGGTTTTTGTTTTGTTTTGTTTTTTTTTGAGAAAGGGACTTGTCCTAAGGTCCAAACTGGCCTCAAAATACCTGCCAAATCTTGGAGTTACAGCTGTGAGCAAACAGCACTCGTGCTGAAACCACTGCTCCTCACTAGCAGGAATCCCTGCAAATCATAGTCTTCCTTCCAAAGCAGGAGCAGAAATAATCAATATATATGAGTACAACTATCCAAGTTAAATAAAAAAAAGTCAATTCTTTTGACAATAACATGACTTATTTAAGTTTGTTCCTAGTTTTCAAAGTACAGTACATATGAATTGCTAATAAGAAAGCCAATTTTATCGAGTAAAAAATAGAACCTAAACTTCAATTTCTTTGAGGTATAAGATATGTACATTTTTCTTTTTAGGAGGAGATACTAGAAGTTGAACCTAGGGTCTCATACATGTTTGGCAAGTAACTGCCACTAAACTACATCATTGGGTGTTTTATTTTGAAATAAAGTCTTAATTACCCAGGTTGGCCAGTAACTCACTCTATTGAGGCCTGGAATTTGTGCTCTTCCGCCTCTGCCTTCCAAGTACAGGCCTGGGTCACTAAATTCATCTTATAACATTTCTTAAACTTAGAAAAAAAAAAAAAGTCAGGGCTGGAGAAATGGTCAGCAGCACTTGCTGCTTTTGCTGAGGACCTGAATTCATTTTACAGCGACCACATGATGGCTCACAACTATCTGTAACTCCAGTTCCAGGGCATCTAATATATTCTTCTGGTCTTCTCAGGCTCCTGCACACATGTGGTATAAATCAACTCATACACGCACATTCGTATAAAAATCAAATTAAAAACAAATAAAAATAAAAAAGAGTACATTAAAAAAACTGTTACTGCTAACAAAAGGCTTTTGGAAACATTTAGAGCTGAACAACTCTATGGTAGTTAAATGAAAGGCTTTTCATGGCTCAATCATATAAAATTGAAACAAAAAAAAAAAGTACATCTTGTGCTTGCCTCAATGTACTGATGTGAATCAAAATGCTGCACCCCAGAGTTAAGAGTTTTCTGATGCACAAACAATGTACCCTGCTTGAGCACTAAAAGTCAAAAATACAGCGCCTGACTCTCATGCAGGCTACCTAAGTTTTATATAATACAACACATTCCATGTGGGCATACTCCTGCTATGACTCTGGCAATTTTGCTCATTATAAATACATTGGGAATGAAGGGGAGGGGATTCATGCTGGTTATAAGGTAAGAGACTAAGGGAACTCAGTGCTGAAAGAATATCATAGCTCTAGCACTGGGCTAAAAGTTAAAAGAAATAAATCCCAAAATGAACAGTTAAGAGAAAAGATAAAGGGAGAGAAAAAAATTGAAGACCAGAACACAAAGCACTTTGATTTACTGTTGTGGGTTACTTTCTTTTCTTTGGTTTGTTTTTGAGATAGGTTTCTCTGTATAACAGCACTAACTATCCTGGAACTTTGTAAACCAGGCTGGCTTCAAACTCATAGAGATCTATGCCTCCCAAGTGCTGAGATTAAAGGCGAGTGCCACCATGCCTGGCCACTGTAGGTTTCTTAATACTAAAATGAGTACCGGATTCTCATATCAAAGTGATGGGTTTTTTACATCTTTAAGATTGATCCAATTCTTCTGTGGATCACTTTCAGTAAACATTCAAGGCCTATGAAAACAAACTCTTCTCTTTCTGTTGTTGAGAGATGCCCTGGGTTAAAATACATCCAACAGGAACAGCAAGGTTCTCAATAATAACTCATATACTTCCATAATAATATTCAAGAGTTTACAAAGACCACTTACCTGTAGTGTTATTCCCTTCCATCCCATGATCACCATTGGCTAGAAGTGTTGATTTAGAAGATGAAATACCTGCAATAATTGCAAAGAATAATTATGCATTGTAAAACAAAGTAAAAATAAAAAAGAAATCATTGACTATGTAATTTTTGTTACTATTTGTAGTGTTAAGCAGTACAAAGCACATCAAACTGTCAATCTTCAGTAAAAGGCAACACACTAATTCCTGCCCCACTCACACCATCAGTACTGTCACCACAGAAAAGGCCTTTTTTTTTCTTTTTTAGATTTATTTATTGTATGTACATGAGAGTTTTGCAGAACCATCTATTCACCATAAACAAATCTTGTTTGTTTTTGGTTTTTTTTCCTTTGTATTTGTTATTTGAGACAGGGTTTCTCTGTAGCTTTGGAGCCTGTCCTGGAACTCACTCTGTAGAGCAGGCTGGCCTCGAACTCAGAGATCTGTCTGCCTCTGCCTCCCGAGTGCTGGGATTAAAGGCATACTCCACTGCCAACACCACCACCACCACCACCACAGCCCAGACAGCAGGCAAGCAAAAAGTCCCTTGGTCCATATATCCCTCCCCTCCCCCACCAACTACTCTGTAGACCTGGCTGTTCTGGAACTCACTCTTTAGACCAGCTGGCCTTGAACTGAGAGATCTACCTGCCTTCTGTCTTTAAGGGCTGGGACTAAAGGTGTGTGCCATCACTGCCAGGCATAAATGTCTTTATTCTATAAATTATTAGAGATTGTTAACAGATTCAATTTAAAAATAACAAATCTATAGAGCACCTCAGGTTAAGTAATAAGCACATTTCAGTTGAAGTGATCCACTCGGAGCTCCAGGACACCATCAGTGCTCCTGTACGAATAGACTACACGGAGACGGAAGGAGTCACGGGACACAAGAATCCTCTCTTTTGTTTGGAGACAGGGTCTCATAGCCCAGTTTAGTCTCAAGCTTGTTTGCATACAGACAGGAAGTCTTTGGGTATTGCATAAAGCTGGGCACAGTGGTGCACTCAGGATGTGAGGCAGGATGATCACTAAGTTCATGATCTTCCTCAAAAAGTAAGTTTGAGGTCAGCTTGGCCTACAGAAGTAAGGTCAAGGTTTTTTTTGGTGTGTGTAACAGTGTCCTGGAACTAGCTCTTGTAGACCAGGATGGCCTTGAACTCACAGAGATCCAACAGACCTCTGCCAGGATTAAAGCATTGTGTCACCAACACCTGGCTGGTTTTGTGTTTTCATAAATGGATACCTAATTGCTCAGATTAATTTGTTGAAAAGACTGTCTTTGCCCTATTGAATATATTTGCCCTGGTGCAAATGTGCAACTTTCTGGAAAATCAATCGACAACATTTGTGTTAGTCTGTTTCTGGGCTTTCTATTCTGATAGTGATGAATTTTTACTTTATTTCATGTGCATCAAACTCAGAGTGCTCTACACTTCAGTGCTTTGCTTTTAGCAGCTAAGCATTTAACTGCTGAACTATACCTCCAACCCTGGGCTTTTCCTCCAATTCTTGTCTTTTCCATGGATTTTTAAGTCTGGGTGTTCTGACACCATATAAGCTTGCTAACAATTGATTTTCTCTCTGAGCAGGGTCATGCCTATTTCCCAGGCTGGCCTTCAACTCATTTTATAGCCCAGACAGCAGCAACATAAAACAGACAAGCAAATAAGCACGGCAGCACCAGTGATCTCAGTGCTGGAAAGTGTTGATCAGCCAGTCTAGTCAAATCAGCAGGCTCCAGGTTCACTGAGAAAAGGAGAAAAGGAAAAGAAAAAGGAAAGGGAGGAAAGGGGAGGGGAGAAAAGGGGAAGAGAAAAGAAGGGAGGGTAAGGGAAGGGAAAAGGAAAAGGGAAAGAGGGAAGGAAAGAAAAAGGAAATGAAAAGAAAGCAAAGAAAAGAAAAGGGAAAAGCAGGAAAGGGAGCTAAAGTAAAGCACTCCTAATATCCCTCTGGCTTCCACAAAACATAAGCAGGCATGTGTGCACATGCATAAAAACACATAATCTTGATGAGATCTTATTTACAACTGCAACAAACAGAAAATTCATCAGGGGACGTACATTTTCTGAAAGATACTAGACTAGAATTAGCACTTCTGCATTTGCACAATTTCATGCTGACCACAGTTTCCAGTGAATCATGCTCCTGAAAAGTCTTCCCCATGGTGTTACCTCTTCTGTCCCTGTTTGAGAGTGTTCTTGAGAGGGTTCAAGCAAGATAGGCAGTCAAAAGAATTCTTACAAGGCTATATCTTATAACATCTCAAACGTTTTATTTTAAGAAAATGGCGCAGTCATCCAGTTTGGTGGCTAGACAACCAACTGTCTTAGAGGCCTCTGAGCATGGACTGAGCAGGGACCCTCCCTAATAACCAGCTCTGGACACACCCACCCATCTCCCTGAAAACACACTCATCTTAACGGGAAACTGCAGCTGAGATGTAAAAATAAATACATAAATTTATTTAATAAAAAAAAAAAGGTAAACTTGCTGGGCAGTGGTGGTGCATGCCTATAATCCCAGCACTCGGGAGGATCTCTGTGTTTCCTGATCTAGAGAGTGGGTTCCTTGACAGAGGGCTACACAGAAAAACCTATCTTGCCTTGGGCACGCACACAACATTAAGACGTACAGAGGTATTTTTCACAGATACTTTTCAAAGACAAAAGGAAATCTAGAAACTAGACTATATAAAATAACAAATGCAGGGTTTTTCTTTAGAAGCTAACAGTCTAGACCCTGTGTTCAGAGCAGAAATCCTTGATAGTAATCACTGTAATGGTTAACTGAAAAGACTGCCCTGTTATCTGAGAGGAACAAAGAGAAGCATGGTATATCAGAGTACTAATTAGAAAAAAGAGATAAAAGGGTGAAAAACCAAGTTTCCATTAAATATGCATAAATAACAAGTACCCTGCTCATTCTTCACATAATGTACTGTCCTGATCCAAAGAGATGCCAGCTATGTTCTACCCCACACTTGGCATCAAGTCCCTCTCCTCAAACAATCAGCACTTAAGATTCATCATCCCTAGCTTAAGAGAACATATTTTTTAAAATCTGTCCTGTTTTAAAAATGTAAATTTTAAGAAAATGGAAATTTTACAAAAATTAATTATTTTTTGCCTGTGGAAGTGATAAAACTACTTTATAATGTGGTAATAGCTAGAGTGACTAAAGGGCAGGAAAGAACAAACCTTCTATATAGTCAGGCAATTTATCAATTGAGAAATATTAACTCAACAATATATTATCAGTATTTAAATCATTTATATAAAGAGATGTAAAATTAATATAAACAGAATGCTGTAGCACTATTTTAAAAAAGTCACCATAGAGTAAAATACCACTGAGAATCCAGGACATATAGGCAGAGGGATAGGCAGGTAGGAAGAAGGCTAACATGACAAAATGAGTATTATGTAAAAAAAAAAAAAATATATCTCATCCTTCCCCCATTTCTTCCTTAAAGAAGGCAAACTAAGGAACATGTCAACTTCAACATACTAGCAGAAGTGTTTAAAAGCATGGGCTGGAGAAATGTTTCAGTGGTCTAATGTCCTCTACTGGTCTCCAGAGATGAAAAGCATTTACCTAGTACCCAGACATGTGATGCAGGCAACACTCATACACATAATAAAATTAAATACATCTTTTTAAAAAAGAGCTGCAGAGTTGAGTCTGGTGGTACATATTTAATGTCACCTCTATACTTAAGGGATTATGGCCTGAGAATTCAAGGCCAGCCTCAACTAAACAAGAAGACACTACTTATAAAAAAGTAGGAAAAAAGAATCTAGAAATTAAGAGAGGTAGCCTTGGGGTTGAACAGATGGCTCAGTATTTAAGAGAGCATACTGCTCCTCCAGCAGACCCAGGTTCAGTTCCAAAGGGGGCTCACAACTGCCTATAACTCCATTTCCAAAGAATCCAATATCCTTCTCACCTCTGGGAATACTCAAATTCATGTACACATATGCACAAAAAGAAACAGCCATTCACATAACTAAAAATAAAATTTAAAAGGACAGCCTCTAGTGATCTAGAAATTATGAGAATATTCATAAAAATGAAAATAAACAAAAATACATAAAGAAACCACATGCTAAATGTGGCATAGATGAACAGCAAAGTTTGTCCCTTCTCCACATTAACCAATCTTCATTCCCACTATAGTCAATCATTCGTCACCTCCCACATGGAGCAGATACTGGACACTATCTCACCAGTGACTGTGACAGCTGGAGGAGAGGAGAGTGCCCCCACCTCCAGAATGGACACTGACACACTGGGGTAGCACTGACAACATACTACCAAAAGCAGGCACAGGACAGTCATCCATCACAGCATCTCTCAAACAAAACTTCCAATAAATAACTGAGGAAAAGGTGCCATTCGAAGAGACCCAGTACCACCCAGGCAAATCATGCTAACACAGCTAGCAAAACACTCTAAGCTATACCCCGAGCCCAAACAGTAGAGTCTATAAAAGACATACTTCCCTCAAAGAGACAAGAAAAATAACCATACAACTAGGAAACAAAAGTATGGACTAAACAAAGTAAAATATCTAATGAATAGAAATCCTTTTGGAATTTAGATGGCTTACAATTGTCTACATAAAGAGTAAAACAGTTAAAAATGGGCTGGGCGGTGGTGGCACATGCCTTTAATCCCAAGACTTGAGAGGCAGAGACAGGTGAATCTCTGTGACTTCCAGGCCAGCCTGGTCTACAACAGCTAGTTCCAGGACAGCCTCCAAAACCACAGAGAAACCCTGTCTCGAAAAACCAATAAATAAATAAATAAATAAATTTATTTTTCAAGCCAGCATTATCTCTGTGTAGCTCTGGTTCCCAACTTACTCTGAAAACCAGCCAGGCCTCAAACTCAGAGATCCACCTGCCTCTGCCTCCCAAGTTCTAAAATTAAAGGTATAAACTAACTACCAAGAAGCCAGTCTCACTTTTTCTGTATTATAGATGCTACCTCACTCTTATGACAAGTTCCACCACCAAATGGCTGACTTATGCTCTGCATCATCACC